TATTATTCCAATTAAATAAAATTAAAAATTATTATTAAATACATTTTTTTTTTATTTTTCTTACGTATCAACACTTCGTATACCTATAAGTATCATATTTTTAACATCTAACATTTGCAATATATTATATAGAAAAAATAAATCTATTAACCAGCTTTACAACTTTGATTTGAATCTAATTCCTACTTGAGAAAGAAAAGAAAATTGATTTGATTATATTTAGCCATATAAAAATAATAACTTTATTTTATGGTAAAAAAGGATTTTGTATTTTTAATAATAATGTTTGACAAATTTAATAGAACTCTTACTAAATAAATATCAATATTTTAAGCATATTTTAATGTGCAGGTCTCTGGATGCCTTTTTTGTATTTAGTTTTTTATTTATTTCTTACCAAAATAAGATTTCTGTCGGAAAATTGATGAGGATTGAGATTTCAGACTGCGACAAGTCCGCTCCCGCCATATGTTTGCCAATTTTTCCTTTTACTATTTATGATCTCTCCCCCGCTGTTTGAAATTTTAATCTGAAATGCATATTCACTTGCCAAAAATAGCCGTTGCCATCCAGCTCTGCTTTCCCATTTGATCCTTATCTTTGTTTTTAAGGAATTCTTTTGTAGGATATGAAGATTCCTGAATCTCTCTAACCGTGCGTAGTTCCTCGAATCCGGCTCAGTTCACATTCTTCGCCCTGTTATATTGTTCTCTTTATCATCGCTCCAAATTTCTAATTTTTCAGGTAGTTCGAGTCCTTATTGACTCCGGAGCCTTGCAGATTATATTCTGGGTTTTCCTTCGCTTTTGGGATTTAGGGCTTTCCGGTGACTACTTCGATTCTGCATCAAAGAAGAATTTTGATTTTTCTGCATCTGGCCGTTTTGATGTTGATGAAGATGCTTTTTATAAATCATTTATATCAGGCCGACATGTATTGCTTTAAATGAATTAATCATGCGAGAGTTCCAATGATTTTGCTTTTTTTTTATTTTTATTTGGTGAACTTCTCTGGTAGAATCTATGTTTTGGACTTCTTGGACATATGAGAGCGCATCTAAATCATGAAAAATATCATCTTTTGAGTAAAGAGTTTCTTTTTTCCGTAATGGATGTCTTCTTCCAAACTATTTCGATCGCATATTTTTATTCTTTCTTGCTAAGGATTCCTCTAGTTTGATGTAGAAATTTTCTTTCCTTTTCCTGGAGCCCTTACCTTCTTCTCCATTTAATTTTACTTCAATATCTCATCTTACTACGGAGCAACTTATCAAATATAAGGTTGGAAGTTGCATAAGTTGCTCTGTCTACGTGTGAAAGTTCAGCAGAACATTTAATTTAAATTTTTTTCAACACCCAAGAATAAACTTGCAATCTCCTGTTTGTTGTCTTTGTTCTAACCAGTTATCCAAACTACTAGGCCATTATATTTGCGTCTAAACTTTTTGTTACATAACACGTGTGAAGGAGAAGGTGAAGCAAAGCAATCATGGGTATGAATACCGGGAGTGAGGAAGCAGTAACAAAGAAGGTTGCTGAATTTTATTTTCTTAAGTTCATATAATTATTTGTGTTGATTTATGAGTGCTTAAATGATTTATGGCTGCACAGGGGAGATTTGCTGCAATCGTAGTTTGCTGGTTCTTAGGAAATGGATCTCTTATTTCATGGAACAGTATGTTAACAATTGTAGATTACTATGCTCAAGTATTCCCGGTATGCACCTCTATCAACTCTGGCCCCTGTTATTTAGTATTTTTCTTTCTTTAGCCTATTCTAAAGTCTGCAAAATGGGAGTCTATTATTATGAAGGACTATGTTGCGTAAATTAAGAGCTTATCTTAATTGCTTGACAACATATGATTTTATACATGGTTTGGACAATCGGAAAAGAATATAGATTCTACAATGAATTGATCATAAGCCCGGTTTTTCTGGTACATAAAAAAATTATCTCCCACACCGGACCGTCTCGAACCACCACAGACCAGTGGTTCAACCAGTGCACTGGTAGTGGTTTGAAAGAAACTACTGGTTCATGTAAGTATTGTAAAATAATGTCTGGTCTAATTTTTTTGAGCTTTTAATAAATATTAATCAATGGTATAACTTGTTGTGATTAAATTTATTAAACATAAAATATAATGTTTAAATTTTAAATTATTTTAAAATTATCATGCATGATATAAAAATCAATCAACAAGCAAATTAAGACTAATATGCCCACCAACAAAATAAGCTACAAGTTCACCTTTGTTTTCCAATTTAAAGTTTATATTGTTAACTCTCCCCTTTATAATGGGACTAAATGAATTATGTGAATCACTATAGGATTGAAGAACTGGACAGGGCTATGAAAATTGGCTTGGGCCAAGCTTCGAAATTTGGGCTCGGCTGTGAGAATTGAGTTGCAATAATTGATAGAACATATCATAAATTTATTTTTTTCTATATTTATCTTATAAATTTTTAAATTTAAAATAAATGTAATATACATATTATATAAATATTATACTTTCTTAAATCATATTTGAATAATTTTAATGTTTATTATATTAACCGGTTCAAACCCCGATTCAACCTCTGAATTTTGAACATTTTCTGTTTTTCAAAGCCTTCTTTTTATAAGCAACTTTGAGTTATAAATCCTAAAGTTTTTGCTTTCTCCTGTGATCTTGTGTAGATGCAGTTTTATTTATTCTTCAAAATAGAAAACATTTGATAGATTGATTAGTAATGAAACACGCTAACTTTCACAATGAACTTGCAGCTAGAGCTTTGAAATCATTATTCACTAGACTAATATCTTGATATCTTTCTTAAAATTTCAGAGATACCATCCGACAAGAATGCTCACTCTTGTTTATCAGCCTTTTGCCTTCATAACCATTGCAATACTCACATATCATGAAGCAAAGCTCAATACCAGAATGAGGAACATTCTTGGCTACACGCTTTTTTTCATAAGCTCATTTCTCGTAATCATTGTAAGTAAATTTTTAACATGTGAATTCTCTTGAAATTCATCAACTAAAACTTCAATATTTCATCATAATTACATAAAATTGATGAATGCGTTTGCCTATATTCCAGTTAGATTTGGCAACTTCTGGGAAAGGTGGTGTTGGAGCCTTCATTGGTATATGCCTTATTAGTGCAGCTTTTGGTGTCGCTGATGCTAATGTTCAAGGGGGCATGGTTGGT